CCAACATATAACACATTACAATTTAACAGGAAGTACATCCTGCAGGGCCTGCACAATGAAACTAAGCGTATATGAAACTTACCACAACCATCATCACAAACTCTGAAGGAGCCGACCTGCAAAAAAAAAAAAAAAAAAAAAAAAAAAAGGCGACCTGCAAGAAGAAATAGACGAGGTGCTTAACAAAAGAAAAACAAACATAAGTTACATGCACTTCGTACCACAGCATTTGCGACTACACTGGTGAAATGCAACGCGCCGAGCGCAACGGGCCTAAAATAATAGAAACATAGGCACACAACTCAGTGACAGAATGAAGTGAAAAAAACAGCAGCAGAGAGCATCAACCCCAACGCGTCGTACGTTGGGAGTAAACAGAAAAGTTCGGATCTTTACCTTCAGAGTTTCTGACGCCTCGCGTTGGCCGCCTAAGGGGCTGACAGAATAGAAACAGGCCAAAAACTGGAGGAGCCGAAGTGAAAATTACAGCACGAGAAAGACAGAGGCCAGCAACTTATTTTTAAACAGTGTCTCACGAAAATAAGAAGCGACGGCGCGCAGGCTGAGTCTGTCTGCAGTGGCGTGACGCTGTTGACTGACTCGACGATTCTGAAATTAGGTGCGGGGAGAGAAGCATAGGCACGAGAGAGAAAGGCAAAAAAGAAAAGGAAAAAGGGACGCATTAAAATGGTACGACTAAGAGCTGACATCGTCTGGTCGGCGCGAACAACACCCTAACTATGCATATTTCGAATACGTCAAAACTACAGAGAAGGGCTAACTTTAAGAGGAAAGTCGCACCTGGCGTCAAGAAAACTGAGCATCGGGGAAGGCGAAGTCGGTGTAAGCAGTCAGACGAGAGCAGACATATCCACAGAGCAGAAACAAGTGACTGATGAAGGACGGGGTGTGAAAAATAGGCGAGCGAGGGTGGAAGGGCGGGAACAGAGAAGATAACTGGGGGTGTGACTCTCCAGGAAAGTGGGAGAAGGGAGGGTGAGGTCGAATTGGCATGACAGGGAAGGAAAAAACATTTGTCGGCGAAGAAAAAAAATCGCTGTCGACGATTTATCTGACGCACAACTTATTGTAAAATAGCAGGTCAACCCCAATTTGAAACGGGCTGTAGATAAAGAAACTTTTTAGTTGAACGTTTTGTCTAAATCACGCATACCACCACCAGTTCGCGCACCGCAAGGAATGCGTTGGAATCAGGTAATGGCATCCAGCAAGGCCCCGATAACCTCACGTGGCAGGAGTTGCGCTGGAACAGATGGCACAAAGGAACCTGATTCGTTAAAATCAGATCCCCTTGTGCGTTGGCAGACCGGAACGGCTCATTCGAACTGCCAGCACAGCTGGAGGTCGAATGGACCTAGTCAAACCTCTGCTGGAGGGATGTTCGACAATCGCACCAGCGGACCGCGCTGCTGCCAGCGCGGCAGTTTCTCGAACAGCACCGTACTGTTGCCAGGGCGCGTCAGATACAGCGCGGAAGCTGTACCAGCGTGGCAGATTCTCGAACCAATTGTACACAAAATTCATGCCAAAGAGCGATCCACTAACTTATCACATTTGTTTCAAGGCCCAATTTCAACGTCAAAAGGGAAACAAACAGATTGTCACGAATGATAACAAACACAGGCAATATCTGACCACGAGCACCAACAAGCCCACGCGTCGTGAAATTTATGAATATATTGCCCTCATTTTGCTGTTGCAAATGTATCTATGACATAATTCAAACAATCAACAACTGATTTCGAACATCACATTTGATATATACATACGCCACAAGCTGCGTAGTTGTGCTAACGAGATGAAATCAGTTCCTATGGCTAGGGAATAGGGTGTAGAAGATATCTGTGTGAAGAAATAGTGGTAAAAAAGGCATTCAGACGTTGGCGCAGTGACATGTTGCGCACAGGCCTATCCTCGCACAGATTCAGGCCAGCAAACGCACAAACATGCGCCACGAGCTGCGTAGTTGTGCTAACGAGATGAAATCAGTTCCTATGGCTAGGGAATAGGATGTAGTAGAGAACTGTGTGAAGAAATAGTGGTAAATACAGCATTTAGACGTTGGCGTAGTGACATGTTGCGCACAGGCCTATCCTCGCACAGATTCAGTCCAACAAACGCACAAACATGCGCCACGAGCTGCGTGGTTGTGTAACGAGATGAAACCAGTTTCTATGGCTAGGTAATAGGATGTAGTAGAGAACTGTGTGAAGAAATAGTGGTAAAAAAGGCATCCAGACGTTGGCGCAGTGACATGTTGCGCACAGATTCAGACCAGCAAACGCACAAACATGCGCCACGAGTTGCATAGCTGTGCTAACGAGATGAAATCAGTTCCTATGGCTAGGGAATAGGATGTAGTAGAGAACTGTGTGAAGAAATAGTGGTAAATACAGCATTCAGACATTGGCGAAGTGACATGTTCCGCACAGCCTATCCTCGCACAGATTCAGGCCAGCAAATGCACAAACATGCGCCACGAGCTGCGTAGTTGTGCTAACGAGATGAAATCAGTTCCTATGGCTAGGGAATAGGATGTAGTAGAGAACTGTGTGAAGAAATAGTGGTAAATACAGCATTCAGACGTTGGCGCAGTGACATGTTGCGCACAGGCCTATCCTCGCACAGATTCAGTCCAACAAACGCACAAACATGCGCCACGAGCTGCGTAGTTGTGCTAACGAGATGAAACCAGTTTCTATGGCTAGGTAATAGGATGAAGTAGAGAACTGTGTGAAGAAATAGTGGTAAAAAAGGCATCCAGACGTTGGCGCAGTGACATGTTGCGCATGGGCCTATCCTCGCACAGATTCAGGCCAGCAAACGCACAAACAAGCGCCACGAGTTGCATAGCTGTGCTAACGAGACGAAATCAGTTCCTATGGCTAGGGAATAGGATGTAGTAGAGATCTGTGTATTGAGAAAGCTAGGCAAACGATAGAAACAGAAAAGAGGGTTTTGCACTAGCAGCAGGTAGGATACTTATATGAAACCCTAGTTTGGGTTGTACTCACTATAGAGTACCCCATTGCAGGCTAGACAAACATAACATTCTGACACACCCCCATAGTCAAAGTGGGGTATAATCAGCACAACAAGCAGGCATAGCAATAGTTCACAATGATAAGCAAAGCTACAGATTATCACAGAGGGCAAGTGAGGAGGAGGAGAAACTGTGGGGGCGAGAAGATGGGAGGCGACGGCTGAAGCTGCAGACACATGGCACCAGGAGTGCACAGCACTGACGCTACCAGGCTAAACCCGGACTACACGGCGACAGGCGCAGCTGGCTCGCTGTGCTCCCAGGAGTGCTCACACTGTGGCTACCGGGCGCAGAGCCCCGGACTACTCAGGCCACAGGGGGTCGTGGCTCTCTGGACTACCAGGAGTGCTCACACTGTGGCTACCGGGCGCAGAGCCCCGGACTACTCAGGCCACAGGGGGTCGTGGCTCTCTGGACTTCAGGCGCTGCGGACGACAAGAGAGCTACCTCCACACAACCTCTTCCAGCTGTCCCACACCCCTTTCACACACCCTCTGCTGTACCTCTAGCACTGCTCACACGCCACCCCCCTAGTACCACTCCGACGGCTCCAACACACCCACCCCCCTCAGCGGTAGCTGCAGCAGTGGGAGCCGGAGGAGGAGGAGGAGCAGGGGACGGCGCACACACCTGTCACCCCCATACTCGCCACTCCCAAACCCTAAAACAGGAGCGCGGGCAGCAGCAGGGGTGGGGCGCGGTCAGCAGCTCGGGGGACGGCGTGCGCAGGTCGAACGAACCGCGCGCGGGCCGCCCGGGCCGCGCGCGGACCTGGCGCAGCCCGTACGGGCCGCGCGCGGGCCTGGCGCAGCCCGTACGGGCCGCGCGCGGGCCTGGCGCAGGCCGTACGGGCCGCGCGCGGGCTGTACGGGCCGCGCGCGGGCCTGGCGCAGCCCGTACGGGCCGCGTGCGGGCCTGGCGCAGGTCGTACGGGCCGCGCGCGGCCCGCGCGAGGCCCAGGGGCGCTTCGACGGGCGACGGGGGGCGCTTCGACGGGCGACGGGGGCGTTTCGACGGGCGACGGGGGGCGCTTCGACGGGCGACGGGGGGCGCTTCGACGGTGGGAAACCGCCGCGCGCCTCGGGGCGCACGGCGGGCAGAAAACCGCTGCGCTTTCAGAGCGCGCGGCGAGCAGAAAATCGTAGAAACCCTAAAAACGCGGCAGGCAGAAAACGTCGCGCGCCCGAGGCGCGCGAGAAGCAGAACAGCAGCGGAAGCATCGGGTGGGCCCACCCACAGGATCGACCCAGGAGGGTCGACCTGCTCTGATAGCATGTTGAGAAAGCTAGGCAAACGATAGAAACAGGAAACAAAGAGGGTTTTGCACTAGCAGCGGGTAGGATACATATATGAAACCCTATTTTGGGTTGTACTCACTATAGAGTACCCCATTGCAGGCTAGACAAACATAACATTCTGACACTGTGTGAAGAAATAGTGGTAAATACAGCATTCAGACGTTGGCGCAGTGACATGTTGCGCACAGGCCTATCCTCGCACAGATTCTGTCCAACAAACGCACAAACATGCGCCACGAGCTGCGTAGTTGTGCTAACGAGATGAAACCAGTTTCTATGGCTAGGTAATAGGATGTAGTAGAGAACTGTGTGAAGAAATAGTGGTAAAAAAGGCATCCAGACGTTGGCGCAGTGACATGTTGCGCATAGGCCTATCCTCGCACAGATTCAGGCCAGCAAACGCACAAACATGCGGCACGAGTTGCATAGTTGTGCTAACGAGATGAAATCAGTTCCTATGGCTAGGGAATAGGATGTAGTAGAGAACTGTGTGAAGAAATAGTGGTAAATACAGCATTCAGATGTTGCCGCAGTGACATGTTGCGCACAGGCCTATCCTCGCACAGATTCAGTCCAACAAACGCACAAACATGCGCCACGAGCTGCGTAGTTGTACTAGCGAGATGAAATCAGTTCCTATGGCTAGGTAATAGGATGTAGTAGAGAACTGTGTGAAGAAATAGTGGTAAAAATGTCAAATTATATATCTGCTATATATGTACATTATAGTGTTTGCGAAAGTTCCTCTTAGAGAAAGGTTCTTGAAACTAGCATATATATGTAACAAGGATCATAAAATGTAAAACATAACCGAACTCTGAAACCTCAATTTGTTTGAAGAATAGATTACGTTTAATAAAATGTATAGAATACCAGACAAATGCCAAACAGCAGGGCTGTGTATAATAATTTATGACAATCTTGGTCTGTAAGTATATGGCCTTGGTGACACCCCAAAAACAACATAACTTTTATTGAACGAATAAACAAATTGTTACAAAATGTGATTGTTTTACAGTCGTGACTGTACATTCACCAACACCTGCACATAGCGAGCGCTTCAGAAGTGCACACGTTTGGAAGAAGTGACTCTCGCCAGTCAAACTTACCCATCAGTAACAATGAAGCGACAACCAATCAAACGCGAATCGTCATCATCGCCAATACGGAAAGGAAGTTTAGGGCAACTTTTTCGAGTCGCCAGAGTCGAAACTTACCTACCAGTAACGCTGTCGTAAGTCCCGCGGGGGTAACCTTGCGGAATCCCGAAATCTTCATGCCGTTCGAGCCCTGCCTTTTTTCCGATGATGCGCGGCGGCGCTGCTGTGCCTCGTCGTTTCCATCGCGCTCTTTGCGCCGTGCGCCGTGCGCGGAGCGCAGGGTCCCGCGGCGTCGTCGATAGCGGCGGCGCTGTCAAGCGCGTCGTCATCGTCGCCAGCGGAGTTGCCAGCGGAGTCGCCAGCGGAGTCGCCAGCGGAGTCGCCAGCGGAGTCGCCAGCGGAGTCGCCAGCGGAGTCGCCAGCGGAGTCGCCAGCGGGGTCGCCAGCGGGGTCGCCAGCGGCGTTGCCAGTGCAGTCGTTCAACATGTCTCTGCTTGTCCTCAACGCCACCGGGCTGCTCGCCAAGCTGCCCGCGCTCGCGCCGCTCACTCTCTTCGCGCCCACCGACGCCGCGTGGCGCGCCGCATTCCACGCCCTCGCCCTGCCGTGCCTCAGCGCCTACATTCCCTTCCCCGGTCCCATGGTCGGTGGCGAAACCCCCGAGACCCCCGAGACCCCCAGATGGAAGTACGGGAACAGCTCGAGCGGCGCGGGCGGCGCGGGCGGTTCGGACGCTGCCAATTCCAGTAGCCCCGCGCAGCCGACCGTAGCGTCCGCCGTTCCCCCCTCGGCGGGAGATGCTACGAGCGGCGGTGCAAGCTCGGCGATGGTTCCCGGCGGCCTTCCGCAGATTGACTTGCCGCTGCCCAGCGTTCCCGACCTGCCCATTCCCGAGATTCCCGGTGGGCCGGGCGGGTTGAATGTGACAATGCTGCCTGCGGATAACATGTCGCTTGCCACGCCCGATTTGAACATGACCATGCCCAACATGACCATGCCTATCAACATCCCCACGCCCGACAACTTCAACTGGACCTTTCCCGATGTGAACACGTCCATGCCCAACACAAACCCGTTGACTTTCAACCCGCTTCTCGCCGCACTGAGCGCCGTGTTTTCCGGCGACGGCACGCCCGCGTCGCTGGCGGCGGCGCTGGCGAAGGAGAGACCCGAGGCGCTGCAGGCCCTGTCAGACCTCCTCGCGTACTACGTGGCGACGGCACACCCGCGTCGCTGGCAGCGGAGCTGAGGGCTGGCAGCGGCGCTGGCGAAGGAGCAGCCCGAGGCGCTGCAGGCTCTCTCGGACCTCCTCGCGTACCACGTGGCGACCACGGCGCTGAACTCGGTGGCAATCGCGGCGCAGTTCACGGCGGCGGGGGATGCGGGCAACCTGACGACGGTGAGCGGGCATGCGATGTGGATCAACTACAACGCGAGCGAGTCGGCGGCGCTGCTCAGCGCGTACTCGCCGGCGCAGCGCGTGCTGATTGGCGAGGGGGTGAGCGTGGGGTGCGACGGCACTGTGTGCTTCCCGAATGGCACCGCCGTGGCGGCCAACGGCACGGTCATATTTGACCCCGCTAGCCCCGTGGCTGTTGACTCGGGGGGCAACGCGTTCTTTGCCAACGGCACCGTCGTCAGCGCCAATGGCACTGTTGTGAGCGCCGACGGCACCCTGGCAACCAATGGCACCGCCATCGCCATCGACGGGCCGGGTCTCCCCGTGCCCCCTACTCTCTCAACGCCTCCTCCCTCGCGTGGGCGGCAGGCTTTGACGCCATGTGGGAGCAGGCTGGTAGTGATATGAACGTGGCTCGGGTGGTGCGGGCTGATCTGATGGACAGCGGTAGCATCGTGGTCCATGGCGTGGATGGCGTGCTGTTTCCCCACTTCCGCGACTTGCCCGTGTTGAAGGGCGGCGCAGGAGGAGGAGGAGAGGGCGCCGTGCCTATGCCCTTTGCCATGCCTGTCGTGGCACTTGGTGGCGTTGCTAACGACAGCACGAACGGCACCGGCACGAATGGCACTATGACTGGCGAGAAGCCCGATGACAGTGCTGCCACGGGTGCTGGTGCTGTTGCTGGGTCTAGCAACAGGAGCAGCAGCAGCAGCAGCAGCTGGACAGGATGCATCTAAGATCGCGGAGAGTGGCATGCCAGCACCACCTGCTGGGTCACCTCCCCCGAGCAACTCACAGAGCAAGGCTGCTGCAGGTGAACGCTGCCTCCACTCTCTTCTCCTCTTTCTCCCCCTCATTTCTTGCTGCTGAATCTCCTGTGTATGTAGCTACATGAGTGTGTTTCTGTGCTGTGCGTGTTTGTGATGGAAATCGCTCTTCAACCCACATGTTTAATGTTCCTCATTTTCTTGCATACCGTATGTGTGTGTGTTGTGTGCAGGTCCCCTCCTCTTGGCTGCTGCTGCGCTCTCTCTTGTGGCTCTGCTTTAGAATGAACAGCCAGCTTGCTGGTGTTGCTACAAATACCGCATGGCTTCCATCCCCCACAGACCTTTCACCCCTCGTTGTGGTTGCAATATCTAGTGCTCTGTTTGTAGGCATGGTTAGTACTGTATTTATTGTCGTTTGCTCCGTGCTTCTTTTTTCCATCCATCCCTACCAGCAGTGGTATGTTATGAGCCGTGTTTATGTTAGTTATAGCTCTACTAGTGAAGCTAGTTTGTGCCTGCTGGAGCGTCTGGTGCAACATTTCATGAAAACCAGCTGCTACTCTTGGGGAATGGATTGGGGTGAAACACACTACTCTTGGAGAAAACCAACGGATGAACAGAACAATGCTGAATTCTTGAGCAGTAAGGAGATGGAGGGATGCAGTCAGTACACAGGCAAACCTAGCAACGCCGACCATACTAGTAGTAGCAACACGATCGGACAGGAAACCTCCCTACCCCTCAATCACAGCTCAATGTCGGCCTGGGTGACAGGGACTGCCCTGAAGCCCTTGGGAGTTCGTTTTTTTCTTATCAGAACAGCAGCGAGCAAGACTGATGGTGGCAGCACGTGGCTTGGGATGGAACGGATTGCTGTGGTTGTGGGAGTTGAGGGTGGGGAAGCTGTGTGGGAGGACTGAGATGCCGCTAGGGAAGCTGCAGGTGGGGTGGTGGGCGCCGACACTGCAGTGGGCAGGCGTGGATGCACAGTGCAAGTTGCATGATGCATATTGATCGGTGCATGATGCGCACAAGCAAGAATCGCGGTCAATTTCAGCTAAATGTTCCATACGATTTCGGCATCTACACGCAATGCAACTTGTTTCCCACAACACACACACCATCCATCCATGCACAAACCATATGCTTTCACCAGGATTTTTTCAAGGTGGTGAGTCAGCACCCTCATGTTCTTAGGCTCACTCTTAAGACAGCACAGAATTTACGATCACGGGACGTGCAGGAGGAGCAGAAGGAGAAGAAGATGTGGCAGGAGGAGGAGGTGTCGCTCTGGTGCACACCACACTTGCTTCCGTCTGAAGGACAGGTCAGCCTTGAGCCAGTGAGGTTCTGACAAATGGAGAAAATGACAAGGGAAAAATGGGAATGGAAGAAAGGAGACAGAGATTGGAGCTATGTTGGACATAACACAGGGCAATGTAGTGTATCACGTTTATCCATTCACATATGGGATGGATCGCTATGGAACAGATCCATATGCAAGTGCCACAGTCCCCGAATCCTATCACACACTCTGAGAGAGCATTTAGTTTGGGGCTGGACCCTGAGAGCAATCACTCAAGGTCACTGGGATGGACCCTGAGAGCTTGTTCAAACTCAAATCACTACCATGGGGGATGGGGCACGGGTGGAGGGAAAGAGCAGGCGAATGAGGCAGGCAGAAAGACCTGCAGACATGCTTGTATGGCCGTAGTGGTTAGTTCTAAGATGGATACATGGAGTGAAAGAGAGGGAGTGAGGGAACCAAGGACCGTGGCAGCAATTGAGTAGGGGCATTCATCCGCAATGGGGCCCATCCGTGTAATCTTAGAGTCGTGTCAACAATAAGGCATGCGTGCACTGAAAGTTATGCAAACTTTTCTCTACAAAACCAAGGAGAGAGGCTGGGGTGACGTTGATGAGCGTGTGCATGGGATGAGCTGGATTGGAGAACACAGCTCATGGTTGACCTCTGATATGGTCAAAGAATGCAGGCAAGGGCCCCTCAAGATCGTTGTGAAACAACTTCCTGAGACGAACCAGTTGGGAACAGATGCATGTCAAAAATGAAAGGGGGGAAGGGGGCGGAGTGAGTAGTAGTGATACAAGGTCCCGTCAAGTGAAGTGAAGCATGAGGTTGTGCTTGCATGCATGGCAAGGTTGGCCAGTGCTCATATGCCTTGACTTATGGCAACCTCTATGCGCGGCAATGACCGTTGGTGCAAAGACGCGCTTTGGTATTGTCTTGCTCGTGCACAATGTCATGCGCGTAGTAGCCAAGCAACCTCCTCGTGTCAACGCAACACCCTGCACGCCATCCCTCTATACTACATGGCATGTCCTTACCGCTGGTAGAAAACCAGGGAGTGCGAGGCATAGCAGGGTGAGTGGTGCCTGAGTGAAAGGGGAAACTTATATCTCAGTTCACTCACCAAAACTGGCATGCTACAGGCTAACGATCCACGTAATGAGTTGCTGACATGTGTGCAGGGCAGCCCGACAAGCCACTTAGCCTCATGAGCCAATAAGGCATTGGTTTTTCAAGCTGGCGTGCGTTGCCTCACCGCCTCCTGCTCGTCTTTACTTGGCAACTCACCACAAGATCCTCGGAATGGAGCAAAAGGCAGTCTGCATGGAGCCTGAAAGGTAATTGTACGAGAGATCCCTGCAGGTCGGCACGCACATGGGCATATGGGTGGGGTGGATAGGCATGCGGGTGGGCATGTGGGCACGAAAGGTAAGAAGCACGGGAAATGAGGAGGGACAACAGATTCCCCGTAGAGCTGATTTTTCTTAACCTATCCAACCTTCAAATCTTGTGAAATGGGGCATTTGTGATGTGAGATCAGCAAACATACAGCAGAAACAATAACCAATCAGAGCATGGAGATGGATTGTGCACTGACAAGTTCTCACAAGCACTGACACGGAGGAGAGTCGAGGGCAGGGATGGTGGCTGCGAGCATGTTGGAGAAGAGTCTCCTGTGTCACGCCATGTCATGCCATGCCAGGCATGTGGTACCCATGTGGTGCCATGTGTTACCCATGTGGTGCCATGTGGTGTGGGACTGGCCAGCCACGTAGTGAGGGAAACGGAGGGATGGGAAGGAGCTGGGGAGCGTGGGGGAGAGTTTAATGCAGGGGAAGCAGATGGATCAAGGGAATGAAGGGGAGCGAGTGCGTAGCAGGAGGGGAGGCACGATTGTGAATGGTAAAAGGCAGGTCTATGCTAAGAAACTACTAGTGATTAAGTTATTAGTGGCCATTAGGAGCGGAGCAAAGCGACATAATGTAACACAATACCACATCGAGAGAATTAAGTGGCTAGCAACAAGGTTTCAGAGATCACAAATAAGAAGTGTTGTATTCACTAGAGTCTAAGCCTGCCTAGCCTAAAAAAAACATACATACACAACACACACATATAAAAACTATATACATACTATACTGTAGTTTGACATCCTCCTCCCTCCCTTTCCCCTTCCCCATCCGCCCTGGTTTTGACCACTCAGAAGAGATGCTAGGCAGGCAATTCCTATGTAGCTCCCTTCATGCACATAGTGGTCCCTTGACCAACCAGCCCTGCACCTGCTTCTGCCCAACTGCAAGGCACGAGCTCCATACGCCCATTCTCCAACTCCCTGCAGCATGCAAGTTGAGCCGTGCACAACCACCATCCCATGCCTCACTCGTGGCATGCATGTTTCCCCCCATTCTTCACACCCCTAGCCTCAATATTTCTCCTCAATCTCCCATACCTCTCCCCTCACCTCACCTCCCTTTTCGTCATCGCTCCCTGCCACCCTACCTGCCTATCCGCCTGCGTACACTATTATAAGTGAGATAACCCCCTTCTGGCGGCAGGAGAGTCGTCAGGTTGGTCAGAGCAGTCAGCTGGTGCAGCCCATCATCCGTGACTGCCGTGTCAATCAGAGCAAGTGTTTCAAGCCCTGTCAGTCTCACCACATCCACCATGCCAGCACTTGTCACACCCTTGCAACCAGCAAGCACTAGAACCTTGAGAGAGGGGAGACCTGTCAAGTGTGCCAGCCCAGCATCGGTCACCTTGGTCCCCCAGAGATTGAGGTGTGCGAGACTGGTCAACGACACAATGCCTTCCAAGGAACTATCTGATACGTCTGTGCGGTTGCAAAGTAGCTTCTCCAGTTGCGGCAGCTTATAGAGGTGCTTCATGCCCTCTGCACTGAAACCTGTGGCAGTATGCAAGTCAATGCTCTTCAGATGTGTCATTGTGGACACGTGGGCGAGCATGGCGTCTGAGAGGTGGAGGTTTTTTAGGTCCAGATTCGGCTTCTGTGATGCTGATTGGATTGCCTGGCGAAAATGGGCAAAGACAGAAAACATCCGGAATAAGAGTGTGGATGACCATGCAGCAATATGAAAGAGGTGGCAGGCAATGCATGCCCTGTAGACCAATTCACTCAACAACTCTCACCAGCCATGCATTCTTCTGGTCACCTTCACTTTGCCCAATTTCGAGCTCAAGATTCAACTTCAGATCGTGTATCCGCCGCCACTCCTTGCAGGCTGCCAATTCCTCCATGACACGTGGCCAATGCAACTCTTGCGCATCCCTCCTCCTCTCCTCCTCCCAGAAACACTTGGCTGTCGTTTCTTGCCTTCTCTTTCTACCATTCCCTATCAACCCCCATACACCTGATGCCCTACTACTCTCAGCCAATTTCTCTGCCGTAGCGTCCTCGTGATCCGCCATCTCCCTCTTAACCGCTGCCAACTCACCCTTAACCACTGCCAACCCCCCCTTAACCACTGCCAACTCCCCCTTAACCTCTTCCAACTCCCCATTCACCGCTGCCAACATGTGCCGCAACTCATCCACCTCCTCCTTGTGTGCAGCCAGCTCCTCTCTCACTGCTGCCAGCACCGCATGTTTGACCAAATCAATTAGTGGCTCCACCGCTCTTTCAGCAGCCATATAATCCACTGGTCTGGACTCTCCTGGAACAGCCCTTTTTCAATGACTTAGCTTGGCGTTCAGCCACTAATACACTTTAGAGTGACGAAAGTATATCACACCTGGGTGGGGTGGGGTAGGGTCGGGTGCAAAGAGGAATATCATGGTAACACACAAAGGCACCACTTGAATGGGCATGAGGGCCAAAGAATAATGTAGGGAAAGAGGTGAGGAGCTAGGTCACAGGGTAGGTCAGTGGCAGCATGATGAATGAGCTTAGGAGAACGTAGCACGAAAAAGACCAAGGCAAACAATGCATCAAAATTTACACATTGGGTTCCACGAGCTCCTGTACGTACACTGGAGCCTTACAATGTGGAAGGCCGAGACTGAAAAGTCAGAATGCATATCTTCATTTAGCGTTTCTTTTTTGCTTCTGAGAATGCGTAGTGAGTAGCATTTTTGTGACTAAAAATTCAGAATGTAGGCATTTCCAGAATGTATTACCTGCCTAGTGAGTAGCATTCTGAATATTTAGGCCTTCTATTCATTTAAGCGTCACGCTTCCATGCTAAGTGCAATCTGACGCAAACTAACAGTGCTATTTGCGCCAGTTTGCATTAGTAGCATGGAAACGTGACGCCTCATGCATACTACAGCTTGCGCTTCACTATTTTGAGCTATGTGGAATGGAGGCCGCGGGAGGCATATATATACGAGGATGATATAAACGGAGGATAGAGAGCATCGGCGAAGGAGGGTGTGCTGGTGTGCACAAACAGATGATGCACATAGCCTTACCTGTTTCTAGGGTTTCGCAGACTGAGACGTCGTGCTGAGAGATAGTAGCGTAGACACGAGGATCATATGAGCTAGAAACGGCGCCGGACAAAAGCCAATGCAAATGCGAGAATGGCTCGAGAAACACAGCGAGGGGTAAAATTGCGTGAGGACAGCGAGGAGGAATACTAGCCGGATGACTGCCTAAATGCTTCGCGACGAGGGTTCGCAACTATAAAAAGCAATGTGATAACTAACGTGAAGCCAACCCCCAAAGACGTGCTTCTGCGGCTATGAGCACGTGATGGGCATATTTGTGACAAGAAAAGCAGCTGGGAGTGTATCCGATCAGACAGTAGGGCTGGCTGGCTTTTCCCGACGCTAGGGTTAGGCATTCAACGAACAGTGTACTGGGGGATGCCGAACCCCCACCAGAGGGGTTACCAGTACAGAACAAATGTCGTCAGCAATGTTTCTGTCGAGTGTGTAACAGTTGAACGCAGCAGCATTCTTACCAATAGTGAAGCCGGTGCGAAAAGATTCGTTTTGTAACTGATCAGGCACGTCTGTGGGCGAACAGAGAAGACAAATGCTTCGTTTGGCACTTCGTCTTCGGCCACGAATTGTTGCCTTGACCAAAAGTGGGGTGGTAACTGCTACGTAACGGAATGCTTATTTTCTGAAAGGCATCGCTTATGTCGGAGAAAAGCCAAACGGAATTCTTATGTCGAATTGAATGCTGGGTTCTTATGTCTGAAGTACGGTGTCAACAAGCTTACGTGGCATCGTGAGGCATAGTAGTAGACGTACATAGTAAGAGCAAATATTTTTACCGCGAGAACAGGTGACCCGACTCGCCTCTACGAAATCACTACGGACGGCGGCGCCGTTCTCTCGTAGCCATTTCTACAACCTTCCGCACATCGTATGTCCTCTCGTCACTATTCTGACCCGCCCTTCTAGTCACCGTCTTCGCTCACAGCACCCTCAAAATCGCTTAGCATCGCCGCAAACCAGATTGAATCATTACGCCGAAATCACTTTGAGGGCCGCCGCGGAACCGCGATAAGCAAACCCTAATATAGAGGTAAGCCTCCGTAGTCTTTGAAAAGGCCCGGAGTCACAGCGTAAGAATCTGGCTGCTCGTAGTGCTGTCAGAGTTGTTTGCGAGGGTTGCACACCGCAAACAATCTACCAGAGCCCCTCGATGCATTCTTGCCCCTCAGCATTGTTGCCCTGGGCCTCGTGGTGTGTTTCCTCGCCCTGGTTCATGCACACTGTCACTCACCCAGGCAGTGCCTTTCCAAGTTTGCGTCCAACTTAGGTTGTGACCAACCGCATTGTCGGCCTTTACCCTGCTGTTATTTTTTAGTCTAGGCTCATTCATCATGCTGTCACCGATCTAGGCTCTAATTGATCTAGGCTGTGATTGACCTAGGCTCTGATTGACCTAGGCTCGAATTGACCTAGGCTTGAATTGACCTAGGCTCTGATTGAAATAGGTTTTGATTGACCTAGGCTCGAATTGACCTAGGTCTGATTGACCTAGGCTCTCATTGACCTAGGCTCTCATTGACCTAGGCTCGGATTGACCTAGGCTCTGATTAGGCTTTGGCTTAGCCTCTCATTGTTGCCCGGCCCCTTCCCGTGCTGTGTTTCCTCGCCCTGGTTCAGACACTCACGCTGTCACTCACACAGCCTCTGCCGACCTACCCTGTGACCCACCTCAGCTTGTGACCAACGTAGGTGGTGCGGTGAGTGACCCAGCATGTGACTGGTCTTGCTGTGACTGACCTAGCTTGTCCGACCTAGCCTGTTACTGACTAGCGTGTGACTGAAGAAGCCTAGGCATGTGGATAGGGCGTTTCATGTCCGCCCTGATACGAGACAACTCGTGATTTGAGGTTGACTTGACCTGGTAATCCAGTTGGGCGATGCGTTGACCATTCAGCCCAACTGACTTGACCAGACTCGTATCGAGTCAAAAGTGACTCGAATTGACTCTCTGTCGAATCGAGTCGAGTCGAGTCGAATTGGGCGAGTTGAGCCAAAACTTGACTCGCTGCTTGTGCGTAACCTAGAGAGTGGTCGTCCTGGCCTGCAACCGACATAGGTTGTGAGTCGACCATGTCGAAATAACAGACTGGAATGAATGGACTAGCAAGCATTGTGAGTACAAATATAAAACCCTAATGTTGTGACCCCCCTATAGGCTAACCCACTACAGCCTACACAAATACAACATGTATAATGTTTGACACACCCCCATAGGCAAAGTGGGGGAGACCTAAGGGTCACAAGACCAGTCAAGGCAAAGCAAGGCAACAACAAGCTCAGGGTGGATCTCAAGGATTCCACACAAATTCCGAGCACAAGCTAGTGGTCACAAGACCAGTTCACATGCAAGTTTATAACAGAGCAAGAGATACAGTGATCACAACCTAGCAAGAGTAAACATGCAGGTATAGATATATATAGTGATCACAGTACAAACAAAGTCAAGAGGTAAGCAAGTGAGGTCCAGTAGGCACAAGGCCTAGTAGAGTGCAGAAGCGCTGATGGTCACGAGGCTGAAGCGCCTTGGTGAACACATCAGCAGTGTTGGCCTCAGTGGCCACGTAGCGAATACAAAGCTGACCGCGCTGCTGCAGCTCACGAGCAAGGAAGTACCGCAGGGCGATGTGCTTCGTTCTGTGCTCCAGTCTGTGCTCCTCACACAAGGCAATGGCAGCCTTGTTGTCGACGTACAGTACTGGAGGAGAACGAGGCCGCTCTCCGAGGTCGGTCAGCAGGTAGGTCAGCCAGCGTAGCTCCTGGGCAGCCATGGCTGTAGCGTAGATCTCAGCCTCGCAACTGGAGCCGAGAACAGAAGAAGAGCGTGTAGAGCGCCAAGAAACTGAGCCAGAGCCAAGGCTGAAGGTGTAACCCTAAGACGACCGCTGAGTGGCCTGGTCGTCTGCCCAAGAAGCGTCTGAGTGCCCTGTGAGAACAACTCGGTCTCGCCCTCCAAGCACAAGCCCCATGCCCGATGTACTGCACAAGTAGCGCAACACCCTCTTAGCGGCATCCATGTGCTCCTTCCTGTGACGGCCAGGAGCGACATAGCGTGCAAGGATGCTAAGAGGGTATGCCAGGTCAGGTCGAGTGCAGGTCATCAGGTACATGAGACAGCCCACAAGCTCTGGATACGGGCCACTCGGCTCTACGGACTCATCCGAAGGCAGAGCTGAGAGCGAGTGACCGGTAGGCAGAGGAGTGGACTGAGGCGAGGAGTACGTGAAGCGGAAGCGCTGGAGAACCTGCTGCACCATGTGTGACTGAGTCAGGGTGATGGTGCGCCGTGCTCTGTCCCGGGTGATCTGCAAGCCAAGATAGCTTGTCAGCTCACCCAGGTCTGTGCACGTGTGTCTCCTCTGCAGCTCCGACTTCACGTAGGCGAGTCCTGCAGTGTCAGCAGTGGCAAAGACCAAGTCGTCGACGTACACGAGGATGTAGAACGGCGGCAGCGAAGTGTCGGTGCGCAGGAACAGCGACGGGTCAGCTGTAGAAGGTGCGAACCCAAGAGCCGCAAGTGTAGTCCTCAGTGTGTCGTGCCACTCACGCGGAGCCTGGCGGAGACCGTAGACCGGCCGCTGAAGCCTCCACTGGGTACCAGGAGGAAACGACCCAGTGAAGCCAGGTGGGCGGCGCAGCCAGATCTCCTCGTGCAGGCTGCAAGAAAGCAGTGCTGAAGTCAAGTGAGTGAAGCTCGTAGTCGCGGTGAGCGGCTATGTGCAGCAGCACCCGAAGAGTAGTCATCTTCAGGGTGGGGGAGAAGGTCTGGAAGAAGTCAACTCCCTCTCGCTGACTGAAGCCTCGAGCCACGTAACGCGCCTTGAAGACAGGCGGAGAACCCGGCGGCCGCTTCACCCTGAAAATCCACATGCCACTGACGATGTTCGCCTCAGGAGGGGGAACCTCGTCGACGTAGGTGCGTGTGGACTTCCAGGAAGCCATCTCGGCGTCCATGGCTGTCTGCCACTGAGAGGAGTAGGGACCCGCCATCGCCTCAGCGTAAGTGCGCGGGGTCGGGATGTCTGGTGCATCCGGGTCTCCCTCAGGGGCAACTAGCAAGGACACGAGACGGGGCAAAGCAGCAGCAAGACACTGGAACTCCTCCTGTCTGTCCTCAAGGACGTCCGTGCCAAGAGCACACTCACCCCCGACGGACGGAGGACAGACAGACTCAGACTCAGACTCAG